GTTGCAGGCTCAGATTCCGCGTAAGGGACGAGTGTTTTGACATTGTGATTGGCCATCGTGTGGGGTGCGATGGCAAACCGACAAGCATGTCAATCAGGTCATCATTCATGACTTCATAACGGTCACAGAATACCACATATCAGAGGTATTTAATACTTGGTCACCAACATCTCAGCAAGAACGTGGCGCTAATTTGACGTTCTGTTTGAAACACACACCGCCGACGTGTTCGTTTCAGACTGGCAAGTAATGTTATCCTGTTCCTGTGTCCTAGTTTAAAGATCTCGCAGTGAATCATTTACATAAAATAAGTTATCCCCAAATTAATTTACATTATAACAATCATGGAGCAAAAGTCGACAGAAACAAACACAAATAATATTTAGTTACTACAAAGCTCACGATCGCCAGATACAAAAGATTTTGACATTACAATATCAGGAATTCATTTTTCCTCAAATTTCTTCACTTTCATAAAACCCGTTTCGCCGACGTTCGATTTTTTTCTGCCATTCATCAAGCAATAGCTTACAAATCTAGTGGAATCTCCACGGACAAACAGCCAGCAATTTTTTAAGGTCATTCAAAAATATAACAATACATCGATATTCGCATAAATTATTAAACTTTCGTTAAAAAAATACGAATACTCCACCTGATAATTCACCACGGCTTCAATTCGCCGAGTGACATCGTTTTCCGCGGTTTATTAACCATTCCGATAATCCTCGCACGTCCAGGGGAAGAGAGCAGCGGCGGCGCCAGCCGGTCGTAAATTTCACGACGGAGCGGCTCGGCAGACGCCGCCTCCCGTGGCGCCTTCTCACGCCTACCCACGACAACGGACGCACCCCCAAAGATGTGCATAAAATATCGATAAATAGATACTTCCCTGTCGATATATCGGAAATTGGAGCGATATTTTCTACCGCGATATATCGAATCTAATATCGGCTGACGATATTTTTTGTTTGTGTGTTATCATTAATTTCACGCGTAAATTAGAGCAAGTTTTTTGGTAAAAAATATACAATGAAATATTCGCTTATTTAAAATATTGACATAACAGTCGATAGTATAAAACAGGCTTGTGTCTACGGGGACGGGGATTATCTGATTGTTTCTGCTCCGTCAGTTTCATGAGAAAGAGCAAACACATAGATTGTCACATCAGCCAATCGTTGTAGGGAGAGTGCTGAACACATAATTTGTTTTGTATTGTTTTAAGAAACCTTGATAAAATGTATTTGTTTTAAATGATGAAAAGTTAACACGAATTAAAAGCCAATTATTTATTTTACTGTGATCATTTCATTAAAGATGATACATTTTATTTTCAATCTCTTTTTTTTACTAAAACCTTTATTATTAGCTGAAATTAACATTGATTTTGTGATGAAATGTGTTTTACTCATTTCATTTCCGTAGCTTTTTTGTTTTGATGCCAAAACATCGATATTTTTTGTCGATTATTGGGGATATTATATCGGCCATGGTAAAATACCAAAATATCGATCAATATTTCTTTTCAGCTTTAGGGTCTCCCTAGGGCCACCGGTCCTGGCGCCCAATTGATGCGCCCGCCCCGGTCCGCCCCGGCCCGGCCCCCTCGCAACGCGACCCGCTCGCTACGCTTCCCTCCCTCAGCCTTTAGTCCCGGCTCCCCAACTCTGCCCTGCCACACACACGCGGAGGAGCAGAGATCGCGAAAACGAATGCCGCGAAGAGCGCGCTAGAGGATTTTCTTTGCCACTGGAGCGCCGCCGGGAACGACCCACGAATCTCTGACATTATTATCATCAATTTCCAACTATCTAGGAAACCAAGTATCTGAGATATTTTGTTCTTGGTTCGCCTAGTATCCCATCAGGGATCAAGGTGATTGATGATTATGATCATGATAACATATGGAGGGTTAAAAGCAATATACGCACAGAATGCTTGGAATGGAAACTATAGGACCTAAGACATTGAGTGAAAAATCACTAGGCAATTCCAAATGTAATAGTAATGCAATGGTACACACGCATATCACAGGTAATTTTTTCATAGAATTCCTAATTCGGAGAACGAAATGTACGTTTGTGCGAAAACATTGGTACATTTCTGTAAAAAATTCGCGGGAGTAAGTCCTCATGAAAATTGTGAACTCTTTCAACAAATACGCTTTCCGCGCAAACACTAATAACACTTTAATATCAAATAAATAAGTACTCGTAAGATTTTATGATGGAAAATAATTTGCTGACAATTTATTTACACAATTACATACCAAAAATAAAATCTATACCTTATCCCTTATATATTACAAAGTATAGATAATTTTCCTTATATTATTAAGAGCACATATTTTAAACAATTCACAAGTAAATACCGGAGAATAGTGGAATAAAAATAAATAAGTGACTCACCAGTCTCTGACAACCACAACCCATAAACAACTTCACAAACTGCCCCGTATGTTGAAATAAAACAATCCAGATGTTACCTTTACACCTCTTTAAAAACCCTTTATCTTCACCTACAGCAAAGCCTACTTCCAAAAAACTGTTCTCTTACATTAATTTATACGACGTACATAATTTGCTCAAAGAAACTAAAGTGATTTAATGAAACTAATTAATAATGTATTTGAACACGATAAACAGTTATCAAATGAAGGACAATATTTATTATATATATTTATTTATATTAGGACGGTTGATGTAATTTTCAGAATTTTGAAATATTCTTAAAAAATTTGTTTTCTGAAGCTTGATATCTTACTGTGAATGCAAATTAACGTTGTGGTCATGTTATTGCTACTTCTCATTTTCTAGTTCGAAATGTATGAAGCATTGTTCTGCTTGATGTGCTTTTGGACGCCTTTACAGGATATACAGCTCACGTGTTCTTGTACACTAGTTTCCGCATGTTTAGGAAAGCAGATTTCCTCTCCCCAGCGTTGATTTGAGGAATCCGCTTTCTAACAAACACTTTAAATTTGTGCAATATGTATTCACGCCGCAAAAATACCAACATTTTCTTGCTACGCGAGTTACTACTCAAAGCTAGGAACGGGCAACTCGAAGCACGCAGAAACAGCACAATATTTACTTTTAAAAAATTCGAAAAGTAATAAATGTAATAAAGTTAATCAGCTAGTGATCTGCCGGCCAATGAATTCAATAAAATTATGTATTCACAATTTTAATCTCTTTTTACCATTATCGTGATGGGTCACTAAATCACTAGAGTTTTCTGAAGATTATATTTAATTGCAAATTTTTCAACGATTTATCTTAAAATGTATAGGCTTTGTTCCTTCAAATGCAAAATACATTAAGAAAATAAAACAAAAAAATAAACTGTACATTATACTTTTAAGATAACATCAACTTACAAGGGAACAAGTTTTGGTTACACTGCTGTTAGGATTTTGCGAATCATGAACAAAAAACATGATTTTTCTGCAAATCCGAATCATTATATTTCTATGTCTTTAAAGTATTAAATGAATGGTTTCAAATTATTTAGATTTTTATGTTCATGAAACTAAAATAATTTGGACATTTTCATTGTATGATTATTTTTGTTTTAAAATATTTGGTCATTACAATTGTTTAACTTGCATAAAAGAAATAGTAAGAAGTTCCCACGAAATAGTCAGATGTTCACGTGTTCCCAATCTTAGGGGCTGCTGAACTAGCTCCCTGCACATTTGACACAAACGCCTTTTCGATATTTAGGAACAGAACAAATATTTTTTTATTCTTTATTATTTTTTCTAATATCAGCAGGTCTAACAACATTCTCTTTCTTCAAGACTTCGCAGCACAAATTCTATTTGAATGTATAATTTTTTCATCGGGTTCCGAGGAACACTCATACTATTAGAGGTAAGATTTTTATTTTTCAAGAAATATTGTCAATTACAGCAATTGTCATTTCCTGCACCAAGTCTACTACATACATATAATATTTTGCTGGAACTTTTTTTACACCAAATGAGTTTCAGATTTCAACATTTGGGGCAATGCCAAGTGCACTTTTTGGAATGTAAACCTGTATCTGCCTCGAAAATCTTATATACGTAATATAAATCCATTATGCTATCAAAAATGTAATTCAAAAAGTTATCTGTATATGAATGTCGAGAAATAATATTTTCGTTCTATAATGTAATAAAACTTAGCCAGTTTTAACATTCCCCGTAACAAAAAGTGTAGTATTTTGTGGGTTTCTTATGCCAACGTCTTACGACAATTAACGCCTAGTTTCCAGTTCATAAAAATATGTCGAAACTGGTCTTAAAGTTAATAACATACGTTATATTTATTTTTTTTACTTATCGGTTGAAATTAAATATTTTTCCCTACAAGTTTATAATTTTGTACTTCTTTTGGCAGAATTTTTTTAAACACATTTTATTGACATATCAAAACTTACATAAAACCGTTTCAGCGATATGGAAATAATGAACATGTGAGATTCACAGTACTTCATCTAATATAACATGAAATACGAGATTAAATAATCATACTTATAACAACGATACAAAGCGCCAGGTCATAAGCTAGATACTTAATTTCCGCTATGCAAAAACAAAATTCTGGGCGCAAGCATTTTGTAACGGTGTTTCAATTCAATAAAAAAATGAAAAACAAAATTTAAGAATGAAAGACATTTCGATTCAAACATGCGCGACAAATGCATGAATATTTCGCGAATGTTTGAATTCTGTATGAATCTCGTATCAATTATTTACATTTTAAATTCGTACATTCCGTTTATTTGATCACTTCCATCATGAACTTTCGGTTAACGCAACTCCAAATGGCTTTTCCATTCCACGGAGATGTTTCTGTTGATTTTGTCACTTATGACCATGCCATTTCCATCATTAATACAAGTACAATTATTTAACTTTCCATCGCTGTGCAACACTGTCAACAACAAAAAGACTGTCGTGCAGGCATTTTGTAAAATATGACAAACAGCTTGGCGAGACGAATACTCACTTCATTTGCTTCACTATGGTGCTCTTCCCCGATTCTCCAGCTCCTGCAACAGAAAGAAAAAAGGCGCGCTCGTATTATGTGACAAAACTCATTTGGCATCGTGTTGCACGAGAAGAGAAGACGTCTCGCCGCTTTGCCGTCTCGATGCTGCTCTATTAAATTTTAATATTTTTCGTGGGCGGCGGCGGCGACGTCGACGGAACGTTGATTGCTTTCAATACGCCCTCGGCGGAACACGTTTCAGGCGACGTATCGCCTACCTAGAGCTTTTAGAAATGTAATGGTTTTAAGAAAGGAGATTCGATGACATCCAGGAATAAAATGGAGAGCCCCGAAGGGAGAAGGAAAATTCTTTTAGCAGTTTCTAAACAATTTACATGCGCGGGCAGATCGAATTCAATCTGAGAGGAAAGCGAAAAGAAGGAAACGCTTTTTTAGGGATGGAGAATATTAATGAAGAGCAGTGGTTCCCAGACTCTTAAGACTACTACCCTTATGGCCAAGTCACTTCTTCACAGCTCGACGGAATAAATTGCTTAATCGACACGATTGTAGAATAAATAGAGGTTACAAGAATTCGTCTGTCAAAAAATATGTACCATAATCCATCACAAAATCATATTTAATTAAGACACTCTAAAAGGTGAAAATATGAAATCAACTCTCTTGATCCTCTTGGTATGACAAGATCTGTTGTACTGTCTGTATGTGAGTATATTTATTGTGTTACACCAGACTATTCAATTTGTTGTTCTTGAGCTGTAGGCGTGCTATTTTTTAAAATACCATTTTTTGCAGTTTTGTTCAGTAGCATTTTTGCAGCTGCAGGTCGCTAGTTTAAATGTACTGCTACAAACTTGGCTTACCTCCGAGTTCTTAATTATCGTTATCCCGTGAGTGCGTGGTAAACTTGCCTCATTCAGTGCCGGAGATTTTTCATTACAGGTTCTCGAATGAGGATCGATCATTGTCACAAAGATCCGATCGCACATTTTTCATGTTCATCACCTTTCTAACTCCAATTTGCCACATTATACCCGACAGTCAAGACTAACGCTCTCCCCTAAAACTGCAGTTCCTTCTGGAGACACTGCCAGGGCGCCCAAATCGCTCCTCTGTTAAAATTGTCTTATAAATGCCACCCGTCCTAATGGATTTGTAAACCCATTCAAGTGCCCGAGCAGAGAGGCGAGGATAAGAACGAGGCGACACGAGAGGAGCGGAGCGGAAGAGGAGCGGAGCGGAAGAGGAGCGGAGCGGAAGAGGAGCGGAGCGGAAGAGGAGCGGAGCGGAAGAGGGGCGGAGCGGAAGAGGGGCGGAGAGGAAGAGGGGCGGAGAGGAAGAGGGGCGGAGAGGAAGAGGGGCGAAGGTAGAGGAGCGAGGGTAGAGGAGCGGGGAGGAGTGGAACCGTGCGGACCGGAGCGGAACGCAAGGCAAGCGGCGCGGGACTATCGCTGGTCCACAGAAACCGCGCTGGTTCGTTCTTTCCGTTCCCCGTGGAACACGGTAGCGCGGAGTTCTGTGGGACGGCCACTGCAATTTCACATTTGTGTTCGAAAAATAAAGATAGCTGGCCAAAAATTTAGACAAAGTGTGTGACTTGTGAACTGATTATTTGAGTAGCCGTCGGAAATACAGGCAAGACATGTTTGTGTAACTCCAAAAACGGAACCCGGCAGGTGTCGTAATATAATGTAAAGTAACGCACGTAAACTGCCCTTCAGATCCCCTTCCGCCTCGTACATTAATCTATTGAATGATTCAAAACTTTTCGTCGATTTGATAATTATATTCTAATACCTATCGTGTGACAAGGGTTTAATTTATTTTGCTTTGAACTCCAAAAACCACATAATCGAAATTGAGAGTTTCTTCCGCGTTGACGGACGGACAACCGAGGCTCTACATTCGCTCTCGCGGCGCTAGTGCTCCAATGATGTTCGAAAGCGACATACTAAAAGGCACGCGTTTCCAAAGAAAAAGCAACTAATATTTCCTAATAATTACATAATATCCTTACTTCACCTGACAGTTGGTCATCATGATGGACGAAAATACTAGTACCTCGGTAAACTCATATTTAAGTTAAATTATTTCTCGTATCATTTTCACAATTTACACATATTTTTCCATATCCCTCCTCATATTTATCTAGCAGTACATTATTAACAATAGGTAATCCTTTGATTTTTCAAAGATATTTTGAATCAAACTGTTCATTTTTCTCTCTTGATAAAGGCCCTACACTGCAACCCCCAAATCCTACACCTTAAATCCTGAACGATTTTGGGGATGAATTTTTTAAAGGCCAAATGCGATTTATAGTAAATGACCGGACGTTCAAAAATGTTATTCATACGTAAGAATATTTTGATTACAAATGTATTCTACGGGGAAAAGTATGGTAGGTGTATTCGCTATAACGCGGGGCAATGTTGGTTTCCATGTCAACTTATCTGCAAAGATGAATTACGACCTCTGATAAAAAATTACATCCTAGAGTTCAATACACTGCAATAAATATATGATCTCGGACTGGGGGGAAAAGCGTTTCTCCAGTGAAATTCTCCAAACCCCTCCACCTCTTCTCCTTCCGCCCGCCCCCGCTTATGCCCCGGCGCCCAGAAACTTTCCCGAGGGAGCGGGCGAGCATTTCTCCCCGAACAGAATAGCGCGCCTGGAGAAGCGACTAGCCGCCGCCGCCGCCTGGTTTCGCAACCGAGCGCCAAACGCGCCTGACTTCAACTCCTGCGTCACGATCGCCACCGCGTTTCCGTTCCCGCGATTTCCATTTTTATTCCCACGACCTTCTGCATGCCCCAGGGGGGATACGGCACCGTGGGGCGCGGGTCTCACGTAGCTGCCGTGCGTGCACCAGCTAGAGCTAATCTGTACAGTAAAGTAGCCAGTACCCCCTGGATCTCGCGATCGTCGAGCGACCTCTGTATCGATAACAAAACAGGGGTTCTTGCGCTAAAAAACCAAAAATGCGCGTTCACGGGGCACATTCGCGCGCGCGAGCAGCGTTCCTCGGTTTCGGCTCGAGTGAAAAAGACACTGCTCTGAGGGGTGCCCCACTAGCCTGGGGGTCAAGTCAATATTGTGGGTCGCCGCGCACCAGTCCCACGGGGTGCAGGAGGAGAGGGGGGCGCCCCGTCCCCGCGCCGCACCGCACGCACACCGCCCCCGCGGCCCGGCGCCGCCACCGCCGCCACTGCGAACCCGATCTGCCGCGGCGGGCCGCCGCCGGCGGCAGGATCGCCGGCGCTACTATCGATTTCTCGGCGGGGGCCCGCACGGCCGAGCTGGCTGGCGCCTCTTCGGCATCGAACATGCCCTCCCCTGCGCCCCCGCCGTCCTCCAGCAGCGCGCCTCCGCCACCGCCGTCAGCGCCGGGAGCAGCGCCGCGCTGACGGGGCTCCGTCACCGCCGTCCACGGGAGTCGAACACGCGACTGTCGCCGCCGCTCCCGCATCCGCCTCCCCCACCTCCGCGCCAAGAAAAATTCCATGCGATCGCGATAAACCCACCGATCGTGGTCGGTGAATTCTACAGTGTTCGGACCAGTCAATACCTTTCACGGACAGGTCCCTCCCTCTCCGCCCCTGACGCACAACCTCTTCCGAAGCACGTTTCGCAGAGCCTCACGCATTCCTACTTCCATTACCCAAAAAACGAACGAACGGATTTTACTATATGCAATACTCCAGTAAAATTCATGGAATGTCAAAATTCCACTTGCATATCCCATGGTAGTACTTAAAAGTCCTTCATACTACATCATCCGGCCTTGCGAAACCAATTTGTAGATTATTGATTGTTTTTCTCTCTCATAAATAAGAAACAGCATAATAAGCAGTGAACATAGAAAAATTATCTTGACTGCTATATTTTGTGGTACTTAAGTATTGTACTTGTTTCAATGTAATTTATCACACAATAAATTATTCAAACATATCGCATAATTTTGATGTATTATCCTATGTATGTGTGTATGTGTGTATGTGTATATATATA